CCACAGGTTCTTCTCACTGCTCAAAAAGATGAACAATTTTGCATGGACCCCGGAATGCCAACAAGCATTGGAAGAATTAAAGCGGTGCCTCTCGAGCCCGCCACTGCTTCATACTCCGAAAGCGGACGAGCAACTCTACTTGTACTTTGCAGTCACGGAAATTACGGTAAGTGGGGTCCTAGTTCGAGAAGAGTAAGGTGCACAATTTCCTATTTACTACGTTAGTCAAACTTTAGGTGAGGCCGAGACCCGGTACCCATACTTAGAAAAATTAGCGCTTGCCCTAATAAGCGCCTCTATGAAATTAAAACCATATTTTCAGTGTCACCCGATCTGTGTGGTGACTACTTATCCCCTTCATAATATTTTGCATAAGCCCGAACTTTCGGGCTGATTGGCCAAATGGGCCGTCGAGATCAGTGGGTACGATATCGAGTATTGACCCCGAACGGCCATCAAGTCTCAAATCTTAGCAGACTTCGTGGCCGACTTTACGTCAGCCCTCGTACCCGAAGTCGAAAAGGAACTATTATTAAAGTCGGGTACATCATCGGGGGTGTGGACCCTATTCACATACGTCACTTCGAATGTGAAGGGGTCCGGGCTAGGCATCGTTTTGAAGCCGCCCACGGGTAATGCAATCAGACAAGCTATCAAAACTTCTTAATTAACTAACAATGAGGTCGAGTATAAGGCCATGATTGCAGGTCTCGAGCTAGCTAAAGGTTTGGGAGAAGAGGTCATCGAGGCTAAATGTGACTCCCTACTTGTGGTAAACCAAGTCAACAAAACATTCGATGTTCGAGAAGATCGAATGCAGAGGTACTTGGACAAACTACAGGTGACTCTACATCTGTTTAAAGAATGGACCCTACAGCATGTGCCTCGAGAATAAAATAGCGAGGTTAATGCCCTTGCAAATTTGGGGTCATCAGTCGAAGACAACAAGATTAGATCGGGGACTGTTGTACAACTTTCAAGGTCTGTAATCGAAGAAGGCCACGCCGAAATCAACTCCACAAGTCTGACCTAGGATTGGAGGAACAAATATATCGAGTACCTAAAGAACGGGAAGCTTCTATCGAATCCTAAGGAATCGAGGACTCTACGTACGAAGGCCGCACGATTCACATTGGCCGAAGATGGTACACTATATAGAAGGATGTTCGATGGACCATTGGCAATATGTTTGGGACCAGGAGATACCGACTACGTCCTATGAGAAATCCATGAGGGCACCTGCGGAAATCATTCTGGTGCCGAATCATTGGTTCACAAAGTCATCACAACAGGATACTATTGGGCCGATATGTAAAAGGATACAAAAGAGTTTGTTCGAAAGTGCGACAAATGTCAAAGGTATGCGCCAATGATTCACCAACCCGGAGAGCAACTCCACTCAGTCTTATCCCCATGGCCATTCATGAAATGGGGAATGGATATCGTCGGCCCTCTACCATCGGCCCCAGGTAAAGCTAAATTTATTTTGTTTATGACTGACTATTTCTCTAAGTGGGTTGAAGCACAGGCTTTCGAGAAAATTAGAGAGAAAGAAGTGATAGACTTCATCTGGAAAGCAATTCGTCGGCAGCAATTCGTCGTTCAACAAGTCACAAAGTTTTATATGCCGATTTGGGATACTTGCTGAGATCATATATGAAAATGGAAAGCAATTCGTCGGCAGCAAAGTGACAAAGTTTCTCGAAGATCACAAAATCAAAAGGATCCTATCGACGCCATATCATCCTAGTGGGAACGGACAGGCCGAATCGACAAACAAGACCATCATTCAAAATCTAAAGAAAAGATTGAACGACACTAAGGGAAAATGGAGAGAAATATTGCCTGAAGTCCTTTAGGTGTATCGAACAACGTCAAAATCCAGTACAGGGGCAACACTGTTCTCTTTAGTATATGGCATCAAAGCTCTGATCCCGGTTGAAGTTGGGGAACCTAATGTCAGGTTTTGATATGCAACGGAATAGTCAAATCACGAGGCTATGAATACAAGCCTCGAATTGCTAGATGAAAAATGGGAAGCCGCCCTCGTTCGAGTGGCCGCACAGAAATAGCGGATCAAAAGGTACTACAATCGAAGAGCCAATCTTCGACACTTTAAAATCGGGGACTTGGTTCTGAGGAAGGTCACCCTCAATACTTGAGACCCAAACGAAGGAAAACTTGGCCCTAACTAGAAGGGACCGTATCAGGTCCTCGATATTATCGGAAAGTGATCCTACAAACTTGGCACGATGAACGGCGAATGATTACCAAACAATTGGAATATATCACTCCTCAAACGATATTACTACTAAGGTATGACCTTCTCCATTTTCTTTTATATTTTATACTAACCATTTGCAGGTGTTTAATCGAAGACACCAAAGGATTCTTCAAACACAAAGTCCTTAGGTCTGAAAGCACACATTGCACTCTTTTTTCCTTAGAACGATTTTTGTCCCAAATGGGTTTTTCCGGCAAGGTTTTTAATGAGGCAACTATTATTCATGCTAACTTAGAGCAATTCAACAGTATCCGAGGCTCCTTTACAATCAACCTCGAATACTGGGGGGCATTACCCTCGGATAGTTACAAGGAAAATACTTAGTGTTGATAGGGTCTCGATAGGTAAAGGACCAAACGGTCAAATGAACCGTGTCCATGTAGATTACTCGAGCCCTAATGGCAAAACATGTACACATGTATAATCTATTGAAAGAAGTATTTTTTCTTACTAGATGTTCCATGCCTTAGAGAAATTTATACTTTAAAATTTTATACTTATGATCTATTGTGGAAACTAGCTTAAGGGCCGATCACAACTGAAGTTCAAGAAATTTAACCTATACTCGGGGACTGCCGTCCAAACAATTGACGTGATCGAATTACTAAACCTCGAAATCGTAAGACCTTAAAAGGGCAATCCTCGATTTTATAAGCCACGGCCACCCCACTTCGGGACCGATTAACAAGACTAAGGGGCAAATTCCAAACTAAAGGCTACGTCCAAATTAACACGGTTCAGAGACGTCCTAATTCTGTTATAAAATAGGCCTTCAAATATTCTCATAAACCGATTTAAAAGGCAACCCTCGGCTGAATTACTAAGAGTCTCGATAATATTGACCCTCGGAAAACCCTAAGTGGTAGTGAATTGTTTGACCTCCCGGACAATTTTGTGCTAAGGCATAACAAATCAAAGGATTTCGATAACACCAATCCTCGAAAAACCTAATGGGTTCAAATGTATCTCGTTCTAAGGCATGATAAATTTTTATGATTAATTTTTCAAGCCGAAAAAGGGAAAAAGCCATTCTTTTAAGGCCATATTGGCCTAATTCAAGAGCCTAAGTGCCATTTTAGTTTTTGAATTTGAGAAATCGTCCTTATGCAAGTAAAACCTAAGGGTCATTCTACTTCGAGTTCGAGCAAGTACTCACTCGATTTTAAAGACTACACTGGTCCGACTTTGGTCTAGTTGCCTAAAGTCCCAAACTTGTGAGCAAAATCTCCATAAGGCATGAAGGCATGAATGAAATAGAATTTTTACGAGGCAGAAAATAGAATAAAGACAAGTCAAAGAGAAAAATAATCTTTTATCTATACAAAAATATTTACAAGGACCGATCAGGGTCCCGCACAAAAAATCAAAAAAAGAAAAAAGCCTAAGATTCCTAATTTTCCTCAGGGGCAGGTTCTTCTCCATCGAGGTCCTCCCCATTCTCAGACCCACTCTTGCTGCCATCATCATCATCATCATCGGAAGAGGCCATCACTTTAGCATCAACTTCATGCTCTTTAGCCTTTATTATCTCGTCGGTAAGATCGAAACCTCGAGCATGGATCTCCTCGAGGGTTTCCCTCTGAGATTGGCATTTGGCGAGTTCAGCAATCCAATGTCTCGAGTTTGAGCGGTCTCGGCTGTCTCTCTCGCTTCAACTTGAGCAGCTTCAGCATTGGCCCGGTAGACGGCTACGATCGCCTCTGCCGCGGCCTTTGCCTTTTCGGCTTTAGATTTGGCCTTTGCAAGTTCGGAAACCAATCAAACCTCGAGCTCCTTTATTTTCTTTGCCTGAGCTAAGCTCTTCTCCTTCATGCCTCAAAGCTGACTTTCGACCGATGACAATTGGGCTCGAGCAACCTCTTTTTCAGCAGCAAAGCGGTCCATACTTTCTTTCCACCCCAAGGTCTCCGCCTTCATCATGTTGACCTCCTCGCGGAACTGTTGAATCCTCTCGACCTTCTGCTGCAGCTGTGAGATTGAAATGTTAGCCACCGTTCCCGAATCGAGACCATGAGCTTTTAAGATTTTCATTACCTGCTCGATCAGGTTGGTCTCATCTTGGTGAGCCTTGGCCAACTCGGCTTGGAGGTCCTTGATCTCTTCTTCTTTTTTTCCACTGAGCAGATTAAGGACATTTCTTTCCTCCGTGAGCCCTCGGAGGTCAGCATCACATCGGCTCAGCTCTGCTCGGGACTTTGAAAACGCCTCCTGATGGGGGCTAATGGAGGTTGTGGAGGTAAGTTCAAAGTGGTGGCAGTGAAATTGTAGTGGTGTTAGAGGAAGAACGCGCGGGCGGGGGTAAAATGGGGTTTGGGACAATGAGGTGGCATGCTATGTGGAATCCACGTCAATAATATGTCATGTCATATGGGATAATATTTCCTTGGTGGAGGGTAAAATTCCTTTAATTGCGGCCATATTTGGCCAAAATCACATTTACACCTCAGGCTCAATTGAATTATCAAATTCGCGTAAGAACTGAAGGAAAACGTACAATTATTCGGTAATAATTAAAGATTTGCATAACAGCACCTATTTTAACCCCCGAAGGAGCATTTGTAGGCCATTCATTTATTTTTCCTACCCTACTCTAATATTGACTCAAGTACTTCTTCAGGAAGCTCATTATTTCATAATAAAGATATTTTCTCAAATACTATTTTGACCAAACTCACAAAAACGTCTCAAACCTATTATGGTGCAAGTCGTTTTCTTTGCTACCTGTAATCAACCAAAACACCCACATGGTATGACATATTATTAAGGTGGATGCCATGGCATGCCACCTCATCATCTCAATTTCATTTTTTCCTCCCTCCCCTTTCTTCCTCTAACACCACCTCCCTCTCCACCTAACCACCACCATAATTCAAAACCAACCACAGGTTTGTACATGGTCTAGCGTCAATGAGATATCCCAGTAATAAAATTACAATCTTAATGCAGCATACCTAATTCAGAAGAAAGTTTAAATACACAAGAATAAGCACCAAATCTGTGTGGAAAGCATAAAATACCCCAAGGTGAAGAAGTTGAACACTTGAACCAAAACTTTAAAGTAGAAAATCAACATGCACCTGTCTCTGCTGAGGAATATATGAGGGTAAGTCCACGATAGTTTATTTATGAAACCAAAAATGCATTATTTTTACAAGATTCCATAGAAATTGTTCCGGGTGTCTTCCAGTTTTCAAGTTTAATAAACCATTTTGTTGTTTAGTTAGGGTTGAAGGTGGCTTTAGCTTCTGTTCCCTGTAATTGTTAAACCTCATGCCTCCAACTCCTACAGGAAGGGCGGATCTATGTAGAGGGAAGGATGTGGTACGTCACCCGATCGCTCCGATAGAATTTCATATTAGTACTGGTATTCCACTGATATTTCATGTAAAAAAAGTACAAAATAATTTTGTAGCACCCTAATGAACAATGTTATGATAGGTGCCACAGTCCAAGTGCTTCTTCTTAGGCCTTAGACCTAGAGTTGAATCTCCTCTCACTCATTTTTTAACAAAACTTATTTTGCTTTTCCTTGTTCCCTCTTTTTCCATAATTTTCTTTTCTTCTCTTTCCTCTTAGTTTCTTATTTTCATCTTTGTATTCTCTCTTTATACATTTCCTTCTTTATTAGTTATTTAAATTATAAAAGTATATTTATTTTTATTTTCCTTTTCTAAATCTCGAATTTTGATATTTCAATATGTTTTAATCATTTTTCTTTTGATCGGGCAAATGTTATTTTTTCCTTCAAGGACCAAATATTTTTAGTTTTGTTATCACATGTGTATTTATGCACCAAATATCTTATGAAGTGAATCGAATTAATTGAAAAATTGAACGAACCGAACCGAACCGAACAAGTTTATTCAAAACTGAGCGAACTAGCCAAATGTACACCCTAATTCGACCACTTTGACTAGAGGTAAGTTTACATTAAAGACAGTGACACCCGGAACCATCAAATTCTGGATCCGCCTCTGCCTACGGACATTGAACTTCATCTTCTTAACACTATTTTTGGTTGAATTGATATTATTGAGGTGGCAAATGGAGATTGTGGAGGTGAGTTCAAAGTGGTGGCAGTGAAATTGTAGTGGTGTTAGAGGAAGAACGGGCGGGCGTGGGGTAAAATGAGGTTTGGGACAATGAGGTGGCATGCCACGTGGAATCCACGTCAATAATATGCCAAGCCACATGGGATAATGTTGCCATGGTGGAGGGCCTTAACGGCTAATGGGTATTTTTGTACCGGTTTTATAACGTTAGAGAGTATAATGGATCAATAGTATAACGAAAGACTAATGATCCTTTTTGAATAGTAGAGGGGTATTGTTAACCCTTTTTCATAATTTTAACGAGATTTCTTGTTTCCATTTCGTCCGAATTAAAATTCCTTTAGTTGCGGCCATATTTGGCCAAAATCACATTTATACCCCTCAGGCTCAATTGAATTATCAAATTCGCGTAAAAACTGAAGGAAAACGTACAATTATTCGGTAATAATTAAAGATTTGCATAACAGCACCTATTTTAACTGCCGAAGGAGCATTTGTAGGCTATTCATTTATTTTTCCTACCCTACTCTAATATTGAGTCAACTACTTTTTCAGGAAGCTCATTATTTCATAATAAAGATATTTTCTCAAAAACTATTTTGACCAAACTCTCAAAAACGTCTCAAACCTATTATGGTGCAAGTCGTTTACTTTGATACCTGTAATCAACCAAAACTATGTACTCTGTCTCAACTTTTTTTATATCGGATGTCCCCAAAGGGACTGCTCTCACCTCGCGATCATTACATTTACTCACTTTATTTATGTTTAGTTAAGCACTAAAACATAATTGAATAAAGGATTCGGTTTGTTATAGATTTGAATAGAAATATTAACTCTCCCTTTTAAAATGGATTTCCTAGTTTACTTCTTTAGGAAAATTGCCAAAAGAACTGTTTAAACATTATATTATGACTATTTCTTCTGTTTTATTTTATATGATTATGTTTAACATGATAGGAAATTTAACAAAAAAGTTATTAAAACTTATAATACTAAATATAGTATGATATTTTTATAATTAAAGAATCATATCATTATAAATAAAATATAAATTTTAAATTTTAAAAAAAAATTATCATTTCAGACTCATAAAAAAGTCAAGTAAAATAAAAGAGAGGAAATACTATTTTGACACCTGATATATGATGATAGAAAGAAAAACTGAATAGTTGAGTTAGTTTTTGAGAGAAAAATAAGTATGAGGCGGTGTGGTATAAAGTTACGCGACTGAGGGGGGCAGGGGTGTAAGACGTAGAGTCTGGAACCAAAATATGTGGAAAAAAAATATAGTCACCAAACCCTTTTAAAGGGCGATATACCTTAATGGTCATTTTCCCGTTAAGGTATAGCGCCCTTTTAAAAGGTACTTAGTTGACCCTGAAAAGAGCGGGAAGGTATAGCGCCTTTTATTAAGACGTTATAATATAGCGTCTTAACAAAAAGCGCTATACCCACATAAAAACCGGTTCCCTTCCCTTCCCCACCAAACCAGAAACCCCCCCCCCCCCCCCCCCCC